CACAGCTCCGGCCTGGGAGTGAGAGAGCCTACCAGCTCCAAGACCCGGGCAGGTGGCTGAGCCTCAGTTTCTCCCTGTGCACAATGGAGCAATTAAGAGCTTAAGGCTGTCGTCTTAGTTCATTCGGCTGCTGGAACAGAATACCTCAGACTGGGTGGCTCATGAACAATAGACAACTTTTTTCTCACAGTTCTGGAGGCCGGAAGCCCCAGATCAGGGTGCCAGCGTGGTTGGGTTTTGGTGAGGGCCCTGTGTCCTCCCATGGTGGAAGGGAATGGATCTCTGTGGGGTATCGTCTAAGAGCACCGATTCCAATGATGAGGGCTCCACCCCCATGCCCCACACATCTCCCAGAGGCCCCACCTCCTAATCCCTTCACACTGAGGGTGAGGCTCCCACATATGAACTTGGGGGAGGGGCCTAGACATCAGACCGTAGCGTTTGTTGAGATGATTAAAGGGGGTGATGCCTGAGAAATGTTGAATACGGTGCCTGGCCCAGAGGGAGGACCCAAAGCGGCGGCCAGAGATTTTCTCTAGACCAGCGGTTCTCAACCTTCCTCATGCCGCGACCCTGTAATTCAGTTCCTCATGTTGTGGTGACCCCCAACCATAAAATTATTTTTGTTGCTACTTCATAACGGTCATTTTGCTACTGTTATGAATCTTAATGTAAATATCTGATATGCAGGATGTATTTTCATTGTTACAAATTGAACATAATTAAAGCATTGTGATTAGTCACAAAAACAATATGTAATTATATATGTGTTTTCCGATGATCTTAGGTGACCCCTGTGAAAGGGTCGTTCGACCCCCAAAGGGGTCGTGACCCACAGGTTGAGAACTGCTGCTCCCATTGCATACCTGGAAAACAGAGGCTCAGAGAGTGACTTGCTAGAACTTCCGAACATGTGGTCCCACAGGCCATGGGCTGCAGGGTGAGGGGGGGTGGGGGGAAGGGTCTGGGTAGCACCCTAATGACAGCGAGCCTCCTTGTGAGATTTCTGGCAGTGGCAGCATTCACTGATCAAAAATGTATCCGATCCCACAATGTGCACATGGCGCTGTGCAGAGATGTCAACAACACTCAACTGGCCCCAGGAATCGGGCCGGTAAGAGTAGAAAACGGAGGATGTTCCAGGAATGTGGGAGAAGCTGGTTTGGATGCTTCAGGTTAAAAGTCTCTGCCCCCTCTTTTTGATAGCTAAGCAAGCCGTGGACCAGTAACATTTGCTGCTGCTCACTCTGAGGCAGGTACCGTTTTAAGCAGTTGAGCCTATACGGGCATGGTTCCATAGGTATAAACTATTACTATCATCCCCATTTTACAGGTGAGAAACCGAGTCCCAGCGAGGTCCTGGAGCTTGCCCGGAGTCACACTGCTGGTAAGTGGGGGTACTGGGATTTGAACCCTGACAGTCTGGACCCAGAGTCTTTACTTTTAATGACCACCCTATGCCCCGCCCCACACCCCCAGCAACACAGGGGACCTGTTCTTCCAGGGGGCCTTTGGGGAGTTTTTGTGCAGCTTTAGTTAATAACGCATTGGTTAGTTTGTGCCTCCTTCCTGCACTCCAACAAGCTGGAACTTCTGGGTTCGGGTTGAATTTGCTGGGAAGCTAGAGTCAGCTGTATGTGCAAGGACAATCGGACAGACTCTGTCCTACTTTCCCAGGGTCCCACCCTCGCTTCTGAGTGTGAGGAGTTTCTCATGCTTCCCCAGAACCAGTCATTGCCATCCTACACATGGAGGGGTCTGAATCGCTGCAGGGTCACAGATTGGGGTGGACACTGCTTTGGTGGCCTGGCCAGGTTCCTTCCCTTCCTCGTCTCCCAGCTGCCACAGTGTTGGCTGCTAATATCTCCCAGTGGCCCCCTTCCTAGGGGGTTGGCATATTTAGCAAATAAAAATAACGTATTTTATCTGGCAATTCCACCTCTTCTCTAGAGAACTCTTTGATTGATGGGAGTAACCAGCAGCCAGTGTCGGACTGATAGGGCGTCCTAAGGGCTTACCCCTGGCTGTAGGGTAGGGACAGCGCTATGGTGCAGTTTCTGGTGTACTTTATGGTCCAGGGCAAGCCTGCAGGCTTGTGGATCAGGTCAGGGCTACGCACGACCCAAGATTGCATCCTCGCCGGACATTTCCCCTCCTTTCTCCTGAGCAGTGTCCCCCGAGAGCTCTTGCTCAGTAACACACATGATCCTGAATCTCATCTCAGACCCTCTTCTAGGGAACCAGAGCCCCTTGAGAACATGATAGCCCCCCCCCCCCCCGGAAAACACAGATGCACGCACATGCCAACATTGGCAATGACTTTGGGGATTAACTTTGAAGGGAATCCCTCACTTCATTCTGTGCTTCCCAGGTCTTGTCTATCCCACCTTCTCAGAGCTGATGGCCAGTGACTGGCAGCCACGGGGGCGGGGTGAGGGCCAGCATGGAGTCAGCACGGCAAATTATGAGCAGAATTTCTTAGCCCACGGGATTTCCATTATTTGCAGAAAGTCTGTGTGGGAATCAAAATATGCCAAGTGAGAGGCAGTTGTCAGCTGAATGTCATGATAAGAAATACAAGTTGAAAGGACATGAAAGAAACACAGTTTTGATCAAGTCATCTTCTTCTTTACAACCATTCCAAAGGCTTCCTGGTAAAGACCAAAGTTTTTGACACTGTCTCAAGGCCCTCCGTGGATGGGTGCCCCCACCATGCCAGCCTCATTAGCAATTACTCTCCAGTTGATCTCTGTGCTGCAGCCACACTGGTCTCTTGCAGTCTTTCTCGTTGATGCCCTTTCCTGCCTCAGGGCCTTTGCACATGCTACTTCCTTTCCCTGGGTCACTCTTCCCAGCTTCTCGTTCCTCTATTACTCAACTGCTTCCTTAGGGAAACTCTTTCTGACTTCCCAAACTAGGCCAATGCACTGTGCTTCACATGACCTAACACCTTGTGTTTCTCCTTTATGTTAGGTACCTATGGCTGTCTCACAAATCGCCCCACATTTAGCATCTGAAACAAGAAACATTGTCGCAGTTTCTGTGGGTCCGGCCTATGGCAGTGGCTTGGCTGAGTGGTTTTGGCTCAGGGGTCTCTCATGAGATCATAGTCAGGCTCTTGGCCAGGCCGGCGGCCATCTGAAGGCTCCACGGGGAATGGAGACTCTGCTTCCAAGACCACTCGCATGGTTGCTGGAAGGCTTCAGGCTTTCACTCAGTGGCCCCCACCCATCAGCTGCCTGAGCATCCTCAGGGCACAGCAACTGGTTTGCCCCAGAGCAGTGAATCGAGAGAGAGAGAGAGAGAGAGAGAGAGAGAGAGAGAGAGAGAATGAGAATGCACCTAAAATGGGAGCCCCAGTCTTTTTTTTAGTTCTTTTTAAACATTTATTGAATTTATTGGGGTGACATCGGTTAATAAAATTATATAGGTTTCAGGTGTACAATTCTATAATATTATCCACATGTTGTTTTGTGCGTTCACCATCCCCAAGCCAAGTCTCCTTCCATCACCATTTATCCCCCCTTTACTCGCTCCCACCTCCCCCCGCCCCCCGGTAATCACCATGCTGTTATCTCTCTATGAGGTGTGTGTGTGTGTGTGTGTGTGTGTTTAAGCCCTTCACCTGGCCCGTCTTTTTATAACCTAATCTTGGAAATGACATACTATCACTTCCATCCCCTAGAATTGAGTCACAAAGTCCAGCCCACACTCAAAGGAAGGGGAAGTAAGAGAGGAGCACCACCGAATTTGTGGGCCTATCTTTAGAAGCACCCAGGCACCCAGGCCCTTATCACAGCTGTAGTCTTACCCCTAGTTTGTGACATTACTTGATGAATACCTGTCTAGACTGCACTATTTCTCCCCTCTCTCACCATTGTAGACCAGTATTCACATAGTTAGCACTGGATCAGTATTTATTTCATAAATCAATGATTTTATTTATTTAGTCAGTATAGTTCAAGAAAAATCTTTGGCAAAGAAGAAGTCATGATCAATATGTGATAGAATGTCTTTGAAACTCAGTGCACACGTGGAAATTATTACAGCTGCCTTTCAATTTCAGTTTGAGGGTGAGGCATAGCATACAGGGCAGATATATATATATATATTTCACAAACATTTATTGAGCACTTACTCTGTGCTAGAGTTCCCGGCAGCAAGGGTGCAGAAATGAATGGTTTTATAATGAAGACATCCACATGCTAACGTATGCAGCGGCCCAGAGTTCTTTTTGATCATCTGTAAACATGAAAGACAATGCCGTCTGCATTAGAAGCGCACCCCTGGGTTCAGAGTTGGCAGAAGCTGTTTTATGAGCCCAGCACATCACCCAGGCGGAGTGATGTGTTTACCTTTAATTCCAAAGTAGCTGGGCCAGCATCCCCCCTCTGGTGTTCATGCTTTTGGTCACTGTTTGAAAACGTCTAAAAGGTTTTGTCTGAGGAGCTGGGTAGAGATGGAGAGAGAATGGGATGATGCGTCTGGTGGAGATCTCAGCGTGGCTGATGCGGAGAAACCGTCAGCGAAGGTCGCGGGGGCACCCACAGCCAGCGAGGATAATGTGAGGAAATGGAACAGGAGCACATGGAGCAGCAGCAGAAATAGGCTGAGGCTGAAACGAGTGAGTGTGGTCAGAGGCCTGGTCTTCGGCTCAGGAGCCTCAGCTCTGGCCCCGCCCGGCTACACGGAGCTTCATGCTCCCTTTCCCGGGCCTCTGTGTCCTGACTGATATATATGCGCATTGAATCAGGCCAGAGGCATTAATACTTACTCGTTAGCACATCTCTATGCAAAACCCAACACCCAGATATGCAGGGCAGGTACGATGTAGGCTTTTCTTAGAGGAGCGAGAGCAGGGCTGTAGCTGGGCCTCCAGTACCTCCATGTTCCCTTGCTCTTAACATTCCAGTTCATCCCAATGAATTCCAGCTGCTGCACACGCTCTTTTTCTTTTTTGCCCAAAGCTTTCTCTGGCTGCCAGAGTCCATTTTACCACCTTATGGCAGGCACTGGGATTAACACCCCCACAAGCAGCCCTCAACCAGTGACTGATGGGGGCTGGGGATTCATACCTCAGGGCCCTTGTGCCTCTGGTGGGCCATGTGATCTAGCCGGACTCCCAGAGCTCCCCGGGCAGCACCAGCCGCTGGTGCCCACAGAGGCAATTGCATTGCTAATACACCCTTCATTAGTTCCTTCCCTTTCCTTTCTCACTCCCTCGCTCCCTCACTCCCTCACTGCCCTGGTGATTCCTGGAATCACCTCCTCAATATACGACTGGCATTAAAATCCTTGTCTCAGAGTCAGCTTCTGGGGGAAACCAAACTAAGATAGGGGCTCAGAGCAGAACTCCCCCCCGCCCCCCGCCCCCGGCTTCCTTACCTCCTGGGATGTCTGTAGAGCTCCTGGCCCCAGAGCAGTTTGCAAACCCCTGGGTTAAACCCCCCACTCCATTTCTCATGGCCGTGGTCTCGGAAAATGTACTCGTCGCTGCCTTTGTGGAAGGTGATACGTTAAGAGCAACATTACACTCGTGTTTTTAGGTGAAAAGAACCAGGAGATTCTTTATAAACCCCAAGTCGAATTATGCTTCCACGTTGTAGAAGGATGATCATGAGCCTGCTCTCTCTTTTGCTAACTTGCTTTGTGGAGTGAGAAACTGAATCTGTGCCGACTGGCAGGCTCCGGAGCCCCAAATAGGTGAGGGACGGTGAAGCTTGAATGGCTCTGGATTGATAGCCGCCCCCTCCCTTTTAATCAGTGATTCCTTTTCTGACTGTTCTTCCAACCCCCACGTGGAGGAGAAAGGAAGAGGATCAGAGCCTTCGAGCGGGTCTCCCCACAGCTGGGGCGCGGGAATGAGAATCACAAAGCTCGCTGTGGCCGCCTGCTCACTAAGTGGTGAGATTCTGTCCTCACCGCTCTGGCACCATGGCCTGACCTCCAGCTGCTCCCCTGCGTTTTGTTCCCCGCTGGTACTTTGCTCCTTCAGGGATTTGACACTCCTGGGGCAGCCCTCCGGCAAAGATGGCTGGGTGTTGGGGTACAGAAACCCCGGGGTAGGAAAGCTCAGGGGGTGTGCCACACCATTTCCCAGAGCTCCCCTGGAATCAGGCCCCTGGCCCCACAGTGGTAACATGCTTGATAACACCCGCTGTGGCCGCCACCCTTCCCCACGCCTCTACTGGCATTTTCCTGCAGCTCCCCGTCAGGTCCAGCTGCTCAGACCCTTGTCTCACAGTCTGCCTCTGAAGAAACTCTGACTAGAAGAAAAGTTTCCCCGGTGAGGGTCGGTACTTTCTATTTATCCCCTATGTATGTGCCCCCGGGAGCCTGTTGTGCAGGTCTCAGTGTCAGCCGATGGGAGGAGTTCATGGGCGCTGT